CCTGAAACTTGTTCCTCAGCCCGTAATGCATTCAGGTACACTCTGAGTGGTACAGCTGATGTTTAGAACTTTTTCTGAATGAGTGATTTATAAGCCAACTGATCTTGTTGATTTAGTTTATTGGGAGATACTAAGTCTGGTCAGTCTTTGTAAGCGCTGTAAACACCCCCTCCCACTGACCTTGATCTCACACTGTAGTCGAGGCTGGCCTCAAAATCACAGAGATCTCCTTGCCTCTGCCTCCCTAGTGCTGGGATTAAAGGTGTGTGCCACCACCTCGAAGTTCATTTTTGTCTTTGAGACAGGGTTTCACGACAGTCCAGGTTGGGCTTGACTGGAGGCAATCTTTGACTTCATCCTCCTGAGTTCTAGGATGGCAGGTGAGAGGCACCATGCTAGTCCAGTGGTTGTTTTCTTGTTCCAGCTTTACAGCTAGTCATTGAAAGCCCATACTTTTAGTGTAGAGCATACTGGACTTAAGGGCTCCCTTTAGTATCATGAATACAATACTAAAAACTGGCTTTAGTGAACTATTCTTTCCTTAGTTAGCCATTTTGTTTCCTGACTAGTATGGCAGGCAGAGTGCCTAAAAGAATCCTGTAATTTCTACTCTTTCCCACAATGTTAAATAATGCAGCAAAAGACTCTCCAAGTCTGAAAGGTTAAGTAGACTTTTCTTAGATTCCCATTTACATGTTAAAATGCACAAGGTTTTCAGAAGCCTGGCTTAAGTGCAATGTCTTGAAAACCTTAACTGAGACTAGATGCATTGCCTAGGTTTTTGCCTTGCATTCCCCCCCCCCCCCACACACACACTGCCTGGCAGGAATCTAGCTCAGGAGTATTGGGGCATATTCTTGGCTTCATAGTGAAAGAGAAGATAAGAACTGAGTGGTTGTGTTTACACATGGAGTTTGGCAGAGCAGAAGATGAGAGAAGACAAACAGCCTATAAAGGCCCAGCGTTACATGGACCAACAAAGCAAGAAGGGAATCAATGCTGAGGGAGTGTTCAAAATTCATTCTGTCAGCCAGGAAGTGCTAGATGCCTCCTGCATATGGACCTAGGTGTTTGGGGGAAAGGAGGAAGCACTTCCCAAACAAACTAAGGCTTTTAGAGATTTCATGTTACCCTCATCGAGAAAAAGGCCTGAACAGGTTGGTCTTGTAGGTGCACATCTTTGATCTCAGTAGCCAGGGTTGCACAGTGAGACTGTCAAAATAATTACGATGACAAAAGACCCCCCCACACACACATACAAAGAACACATATCAATTTTATTCTACTTGCATAAGATTCTAGCAAAAGTCACTCTGTAGACCACTCTGGCCTCAGGTCACAGAGATCTGCTTACCTCTGCCTCCCAAGTGCTGGGATTTAAGGTGTTTACCACCACATCTGTCTATAGGGGATTTTTTTGTTATCCCTCTCTCTCTCTATTGTCTTTTGAGACAGGGGTTCTCTATGTAGCTCTAGCTGTCCTGGAACTCACTTTGTAGCCCAGGCTGCCCTCAAGCTCATAGAAATCTGCCTGCCTCTGCCTCCAAAGTGCCAGGACTAGTGTGCCACCACCACCTTAGGATCAGCCTATGGTATTTTTAAATTTATGCACATTTATGTGTGCAGATGCTCTCAGAGGGCAGAAGAGGTGGTTGGATCTCCTGGAACTGGAGTTACAGGTGGTTCTGAGTGCCCAAAGTGGGCACTCAGAACCAAACTTAGGTGTTCTGAAAAGACAGCAAGTATTCTTAACTGCCCAGTCATCTCTTCAGCCCTATTTACTTATTTATTGGCAGGAGCTCTCTATGGTCTCTCTATGTAGCTCTGATGTTTTGGAACTCATTATGTACATCAGGCTGGCCTTGAACTCAGAGATTCACTGGTCTCTACCTCCCCAGTGCTGGGATTAAAGATATTTACCACTATGCCCACTATTTTTATTGTGCTTTTATTTTTAAATTTGATTAATTACTTGGATGAATAATCAATGTGAGTGCAGGAGAATCAGGAGTTCAAGGCTACTTTTGGTTGTGAGCCTAGCCTTTAATGGGGTGGAGGTAGAGTTCTTGCTCAAGGACACTGGGTGATCTGATTCAAACATTCTTTTTGCAAGCCTTTGCTGAATTTTCCCTTTTGTTTGTTTTGTTTTCTTGAGATGGGTTTTCTCTATGTAGCTTTCACTGTCCTGGAACTCACTATGTAGACCATGCTGGCCTTGAACTCACAGAAGTTCACTTGTCTCTACTTCCTACGTACTGAGATTAAAGTCCCGGTGGCCATGTGGCCTTTCCTTTGCTGCATTTCTGACTGCCTGGATGCTGCTTGCAGAGTCTAGAGGGTTAACTCTCTAGTCTCAAGGAGAGCTCACCTATGAACCCCTCCCCACACACTTTCAGATGGCCCAGGGTCCTGGCTTCTCCCATCTCTGCCTCAATTTGCTGGACTCTTTCATTCACTCTAAATGTTTTCAATTTTTCCTCTCTTTTCAGACCCAGTGAAAATAAGATTTATTTCACAGTCTTTCCTACGTATTTCTGCAGAGAAATGTCCATCCCCTCTTGAAGTTTCTCTGGTATTTATAATCTAAACTGCCCTTTCCACACCTATTTACTGCCTTGGATTATTTCCTTCTCAGTGTGTCTTCTCAATAGACTGTGAATTTCCTCAGGGTAGGAATTAGGTCACATTTATCTTTGTGTCTCCTAAGGCACTTAATAAAACACCTCACTTTCATAGTCTTTCAGTGGACGAACTTTCTTAGCCATTATCTCATTTGATCATGACATCAATGCTAAGAGATTGGAGTAACTAGAAATATTCTGTTCCCTCCTTTTGACAGGAAGGAGAGCTGTAGCCCAAGGTCTCATGGCTTGAAAGGGACAAAGAGGGAAGACATAATTGCCTATGGAGGTCTGTTCGGTGCAAAGCTCCCACCACCATCTTCTCTATCCTTCTGGAAGGCAGGCTTCTGTACCTCATCTCTCAGGCCTCGTGTGCTTTAGAGCCACTTAGCCAGAGCCTTGTAGTTCAGTATTTGAGAACTTGAAGACTTGGGAGATAAAATTCCAGTAGATCTCTGATCAGCCGAAACCCTGCAAAGCACGCTTGCTATTTTGTTCTGAGCACTGTTTGTGTGTAGGCCTGGAATTTAATGAGGCAGCATCGCAGAACTGAGGAAGCATAAACAATTTTTAAAAGCCTTGGAAAATGACAGCACTTTAGCATTAAACATGAAACATGGCAGCTGATGCTCTGACCAAGGACACAAAATCTTTCCCCATGGGATCATTCCTCTGTGTATCCTATTGGAAGTCTCTTGCTGGGTGTTGGTGGCACATGCCTTTAGCCCCAGCATGCAGGAGGCAGAGCCAGGAAGGATCCCTGTTGAGTTGGAGGCCAGCCTGGCCTACAGAGCAAGTTCTAGGACAGGTTCCAAAGCTATACAGAGAAACTCTGTCTCCAAAAACAAAAACAACAAAAACAAAAAGGTAAGTCTCTACTTGTTCCTTTTTTTCTTCTTTTTGGCAGGATCACTCTATGTAACTCCAGCTGGAACTCTCTATGTAGACCAGGCTGTCCTCAGACTAAGAGATCTGCCCACCTCTGCCTCCCAAGTGCTGGGGTTAAAGGTGTGCACCACTATGATCAGTCCTAGCTTGTTCTAAAGGAAAAGTGAACAGCTCCATCTCCTAGCACACTTTGCCCCACTCTCTGTTCTCTGATGCAAGACATCTAATAAGTGGCCTAGAAAGAGAGCTCAACTATTGCTCTTTTAGAAAACCTGGCTTTGATTCTCAGCACCTACAGGGTAGCAACTGTAACCAGTTCCAGGGGATCCGAGAGAGCACCAAGCCTGTAAGTGTTACACAGACATACATACAGGCAAAACACCCACATTCATAAATAACGGTAAAGTAAGTAAAACTTTAAAGAGTCCTAATAACCTTGAAGCAGTTTGTTTAATATAAAACTTTTATTTACATTGTGGGGGGGCACCTTCAATATGGTGCTCAGTCACGGCCTTTAACTCTGGATCTTCCTGACACAGCCTTGGGAGTAGAAGGGATGAAGTAGCAGCACCACATCCAGCTAAACTTCCTATTTTCTACCTAATTCACTTCCTGATTGGGTTCCCTTAGTTTTGCAAAGCCCATGTAGGCAGGAGTAGGGGTTGAATGAAGAATGAGAAAAAGGTAGGGCTGAATGGGTAAAGAAGCTTGCTGCCAAGCCTATGACTTCAATTCCAGCCCCAGAACCTACATCTTGGAAGAGAAGACTCCCACAGCATCTTCTGACCTCCACAGCGTACGGAGCACACACAATCAATAAAATGTGGTTTTAAAAAAAAGAAAAGGAGAGCAGAGGAGGCTGCATTAAGAAATTCAATAGTTCAGTGGTTAAGAGCACTGACCGCTCTTGCAGAGGATCTGAGTTCAAGTCTCGAACCCGCAACTCAACTGGCAGCTCATTAATTGTCTGTAACATCAGCTCAAAGAGCTCTGACTCCCTCTTCTGGCTCCTGTGGACACTGCACACATGGCCCATGTGCGTGATATATATATACACATACACACATACATACATACACACACACACACACCCGTGTTGCAATAGCGTGAGATTTTAATCTCAACACTCAGGAGGCAGAGGCAGGCGGATCTCTTGAGTTTCAGGTCAACCTGGTCTACAGAGCAAGTCCCAGGACAGGGACAGCCAGGGCTACACAGAGAAACTCTGCCTTTAAACAAACAAATCCAAAACAACAACAAAACACATTCAAGAGGAAGCCCGTAGAGGTGCCATTTGTTCGAGGACCACAGAGGCAGGGCTAAGCTTCCGGGCTGGGCCGCAGCATCTACCTAACCATACCCTTCCTCCCTTCCTTCCGTGCCTTAGCCCTCCCCTCCCTTAAACGGGTGAAGTCCCGACTTCCAGGCGGTTGAGCCCTGCGCGCGCTCCCGGGGCGGGGCCTCCGTTCCCGCCCAGCACAGCCTCGCCCCGCCCCGCGGGCCCGGCCGATTTGGGACCGGTGCTGCCTACGCTGGCGGGAGCGTCCACCCCCGGCAGTCCCGGCTTCCGCGCTCCGGCGGCGAGGTTTGCTCTCGGCGTCCGCGAGCTCGCGGCAAGGCCGCGCTCGCCCTTAGGACTCCTTGGCGGCCCAGACGGTAGGTCGGCGCCGGAGAGCGCGTTCTGCATCTTGATTATCCCGGGCCTTGTAAGGGTCACCTCTTGTGAAAACACCTGGAAATTCAGTCTGCGTCCAGTGCAGCGTGCGGGGAATGCCTGGCGGCTGGGCACCCCCGCGCGTGGGACCCCGGCTGCCTGCGCAGGGTAGGGTGCAGCCTGAGGTCATGTCCTGTGGCCACTGAAGGCAGATGGCTCGGCTGAGGACCCCTGGCCGGTAGAAACCCTCATGGCTGTGTGCCTAACTGGCCCGCAAAACTTCCTTTGTAGGCGTAACCCAACAATAAACTGAGTTGGTAAAACTGAACTTAACTAAATAGCTTTTGTTGACAAGTCGATTGTTATTAATTCTTAATGTTTCATGCAAGGTAAGAATCGTTATCGCGGTTTTGCAGGTGGAAGAGGTTGGCACCAGAAAAGCTTTCCCCTTAGACTCACACAGAAACTTCTGCATGGCAGACCCACAAATTAAGGCCTAGCATCGCACCTCCTCAGCTTCGTTACAAAACAAACGGCTAGTTGCTTTCATGTGACTCATGAAAGGAGCGAATAAACCAATATTTTGTGGACCTGAAGCGTTCAGTCCTAATAAGCTTCAGGGTCAGCACTGCTTCGGGCTCAGCCACCTTTTGAAGGAGAGGCTGGAACAAAAACCGGGAAAGAATGGGCGGGCAATGTTTGTGTTTCTGTTCAGTTTCTCACTGCCCTCTGTTGATGACATTCCTTGAAAAGCACCCAGAGCTGCAGTGTCCTCTTATCGACCACTCCTCAGTCTACAGTACACTGTGGTGTCCTCTCCTCTAGGTGCCCTTTACTAGCCTTGTTATGGGAAAAGCTGTTGTGGTTCAACTGTCTGTTGTTACTCCTGCCCGGAGACAAACAGCTCTTCCGTGAGAGGACAAGGTCAGAGAGCGCTAAAAAAAACCAGTGAGGCGCTCCATAGCTGAGCTGTCACTGGGGAAAAGGCATACTTGGACTCCCCATCTCCCAGTTTACCGGGAACGTGAGTTGCTACAGTTTGTAGCCTCCCGGACAATGGTGGTAGTAGGGGACAGCCTTCCATTTGACCTTAGTGGACCAGGTTGGGGTTGGGGTGGGGGCGGGGCGGTTCTCTTTAGAAAGAGCCATCTTTTGGACAGCTTGGGAGACATTTTGGAATGTAAGGTATTCGGGACCCCTGATGTCTGACACAACATTTCCCTGTAAGAAATGTCTCTGAACAGCAAGATGTGGTGATGTCCTCCAGAGGCAGAGGCCCTTGAAGAGAGTCAGAAGGTCCAGGCTTGCCTCAGTGGCGCAGAGTTTGAGACCAGCGTGGGCTTGTGAGGTGCCTGAGGTGGCGCCACCTGGAGCAGCCAGGGGTTGGTTCATCTTGCAGTTTCCTTTCTTTTGGTTCCATACAGATACTACCAAGAAAATCAAATGGCATCTGGAGATTTCTGCTCGCCTGGAGAAGGGGTAGAAATACTGCAGCAAGGTAAGGGTAGATGTCTGCAGAAGGCCTGATGGCTTTTCCAGGGATCTTGTCTAGATCCTCACCTCCTGCGATGAAAAGCGCTCACCCGGTTAGTGAGGAAAGTAGAATTCAGGAGACCCTGGAGGACTTGGCTTGAGAAGCAGGTTTACCAACTGTTGGTGCGGACTCAGTGTCCGCTTGTGCAATAGATGCTGCCTGCCACACTGCATTGGCAATCTACTGCCAAGGTAAGGATGGCTTCTTTCCTGCCTGTGTTTTCATGTTTCTCTTGTAGCCCAGGCTGGCCTTGAACTTCTGATTCTCCTGCCTCCACCTCACAGTTCATGCCCAAAAGTGAAAATAAAAGACTCCTTATCTCTGAGTTGGTTTTGGATATAATAATTCAAAGAGCAAACAATCTTCGTGTTTGGTAGGTAACGGTAAAAGACCTTGAGGAAGCCCCGGGGAGAGATGGAGAAGAAGGGGCCTTGAGCAGATGGGTAACTGGGGGACACTGACCCCTGTGGGTTCTCTTGAGCCTGTGCTGACCTGTGCCCACATGGGTTGCTCAGCTCCACTACAAGGACAGAGTTCTAAGTGGTCAGTTAATTGCTTCAACCTTTTCTCAGCTTTGTGTATGTGAATGAGTCAGTGCTCATCCACAGTTGGAATTTGCCATGCCTGTTTCCCCCTCTTCCTCAAGAACTCTAATGATTCTGGCCAGGCTTGGTGTTGTGTGTCTTTAATTCCAACATTTAGGTGAGTGAGGCAGGAGGATCACAAATTCAAAGCTAGCCTGGGGCTACATAGAAAACCTTAAAAGAAAAAGAAAAAGATTCTAGTAACTTTGTATGAATGAGGTATTTTAGTTACTGGGGGTTGTCTCTCCCTCCCTCTCCCTCTCTCCCCCTCTCTCTCCCCCTTCCCCTTTCCCTCTCTCTTCCTCCCTCCCTCCTTCCCTCTCCTTCCCTCCCTCTTCCTACCTCCCTCCCTGTCTTTTCCTCTCCCTCCCTATCTCTCCCTTCCTACCTCTCTCTCTCCCTCCCTCCCTCTCTCCCTCCTGCTCTCTCTCTCTCTCTCTCTCTCTCTCTCTCTCTCTCTCTCTCTCAGCTCTACCCTCTACTTCTTGCATTCCATTTACCAAGGCCTTATCTTTGCCACTGCAGCTCTAGCTGATATTAGAACACTTGCTTACCATGTGCAAGTCCCTGGCAACACAACCCTACCTTGTTAGACATTAGTTTTCCTTTGATTAATGTCTTTCTATATAAAGTAGATACTTGAATTGAGTATAATTTCCTGTTTATTTGTGATGTGTTTTGAGGCAGGTTCTCACAGTGTAACACAGGTGCCTCTGGAAGTCACACTGTCCAGGCTGGCCTGGAACTCCCGATTCTCCTGCCTCGATCTCCCTGCTGCTGAGATTCCAAGTGTGTGCCACCACATCCAAATATTTACTGTTTTGTATTTATTTGTGTGAGCACTGAAGTGTGGCCATCAGAAGACACGCTTCAGAAGTCCATGCTCTCTGTCCACCATGTGGTTTCTGGGGAGTGGACTCAGGTCAGCAGGCTTGGTGACAAGTACCCTTCCAGTTGAGCCATCTAAACAGCAACTATTTATTCTCTGTCTCACTGTGTCCTCAGGCTGATTTCAGACTCTTGGGTTTCAGTCTCCTGAGTAGCAGGGGTTATAGGTGTATGTCGTTGTGCCTGGCTTTATTTTTCCATTTAAATTGCATTTTATTTAGAGAATTTTTCTACTCTAAACTAGGATTGTCTCTTTTTGCTTGTTTCAGAAGTAAGTGGTGTTATGCCCAATTATGTAAAGCAATGAGTCCTTGTGTTTGTTGTCATTTTTAAGTGTGTGACAAGAGGTTCCCTCCTTGTGCCCTGACTGAAGAGGACCTAATCCAGAACCCATATTTCAGCAAGCTGTTGCTTAGCCTCTCACAGCACCTGGATGAAAGTGGCTTAAGCCTTACCCTGGCGAAAGAGCAGGCTCAGGTAAGACCCTGGAAGAAGGGATGGCAGGAGGGAGGTAAAGTCCCTGAGAGAGGAGTCTCAGGCAGGGATTTGGTTTTGTTTTGAGACGTGGAATGAAGTTCGGCTGCATAAGACAGCATGGCTGAGGTACGAGATCTTACAGAGAGTCATCCAAGAGCTGCTTGTGGACTACTATGTGAAGGCACAAGACACAAATCTAACATTGGAAGACAAAAAAGTAAGGCCAAAGAAATGGTGTAGTGTTGGTTACAGCGATAAGAACTGCCAGGGTAGCCAGCTGTGACAGCACTCGAGTGACTGTTATCCAGGGCTTGGAAGGCTATGGAAAGAGCTCAGTGTGGGGATGTGAGATCTGCCTGGGCAACACAGTGAACCCTGTAGGAAGAAGCAAGAGGAGAGAGGGAGGGAGGAGAGAGGGAGGGGGAGGGAAATGTAAGTGGTACCTTGCTTGAGGACTTTGACAATGTGTGAGAAGAGGTGCATGGGGTCTTCTATTGAGACAGGGTGTAAGCCTCACTGTGCAGCCCTGGCTGGCCTAGTATTAGCCATGTAGACCAGGCTATCCTCAACCTCAGAGAGATCTGCCTGCCTCTGTCTCCTGAGCACTGAGAATAAAGGCCAAGTCAAAAGTTTTTTTGTTTTTTTTGTTTTTTTTTTTTTTTTGAGGCAGGGTTTCTCTGTGTGGCCCTGACTGTCCTAGAACTCACTTTGTAGATCAGGCTAGCCTCAAACCCATATAGATAGACCTGCCTCCTGAGTGTTAGGATTAGAGGTATGAGTCACCACTGCCCAGCTAAGTGAAAAATTTTATAGTCTTTTTTTATGTGTGTGTGTGTGTGTGTGTGTGTGTATGTGCTTTTTATTCTCAGTTTCATGAGACCCTTGAACAGCGGCTACTTGTAACTGAACTGACACAACTTTCAAGTCCTGGCCAGGAGACAGAGATGCCCCCACTGCTAGGGCTTAAGAAGGCTGACCTTTTGGAGCTCATGCCACCCTCACAGGTTGGAAACATACTGGATCAAGTCTTTGAAGTTCTTGTATCACAATTGTCTGTCTGTCCCTCCATCTCTTTCTCCAGGGTCTCATGTATTTACCTCAGGTTGGCCTTGACCTGGGAGCCCCATGGCTATGCCTCTCAAGTGCTGGAGACATTTGTGGGAGACAAGGCTTAACTTTGCAGTTGTGGGCAAACTCTCTGTGTAGATGATGCTGGTCTTGGACTCACAGAGCTCCACCTGCCACTGCCTCCTGAGTGAATACTCTACCCCTCCTGGCCTGTAGGGTGTCACCCTGTAGGCCAAACTGGCTTCAGACTGGCCTCAAACTCATGACCTTGGCTACTTAGTTAAGGCCTGCTTGGGCTACATGAGACTGCCTTTAAAATAAAAAGACTCAAATCAACAGACATAATTCAAGTGCAGAGGAAGCTAGGGAGATGGCTCAGTTCATGAGTTCGTATTGCTCTTGCAGAAGACCCAAGTTCAGTTCCCAAGACCAAACTGGGGCAGATTATAACTGCTTGCAATTCCAACTCCAGGGGTTCTGACAGCCACTTCTGGATTCCACAGGCACCTACACTCACATGTGTATATTCACACACAGTCGTAAACATATAAATAAATCTTTAAGAAGAAATCCTAACACTTGGGAGGCAGATGCAGGTAGATCTCTATGAGTTCAAGTCCAACTGATCTATATAGCTAGTTCCTGGTAAGTCAGAGACATGCAACATGGTACAACCCTGTCTCACAAACAAAACAAAATGAGTAAAGGTTTATAATCCCAGTGCTCAGGAGCTGGAGCAGAGGGTTGTAAGTTCAAAGCCATCCTGGGTCTATGTAACAAGTCTATCCTAAAAAACAAGCAACAAAGCCAGGTGTGGTGGTGCAAGCTTGGAAAGCAGAGGCAGGCAAATCTCTGTGAGTTTGAGGCCAGCCTTGTCTACAGAGTGAGTTTCAGGACAGCCAAGACTATGTAGAGAGACCCCGTTGTCAGAGAACCAAAAACAAACTCAACAACAAAGAAAAGACAAGGATAATAAACAATTGAATAAAAGGATAACCCTAGTAGCACTTGGAACATTGTTTAGGCACTGGGAGCTTGATAGCTTTGTTGTATCAGCTTGAACCACTCCCAGGGATGGGGAGATAGCTCAGTGAGATAGCTCAGTGGTGGGGCCCATGGCTAGCATGTCCAGGGTCCTGAGTTCCATCCCCAATGTGAAAGGACAGAGAGTACCACTGATAGGAGACCATTGTGTGCATATAGCACAATTTGCTTGCTTAGTGTTAGGATTTATGTTTTGAGTCAGAGTCTCATGCAGTCTCTGGCCTCAGTCCCCCAAACGCCACCATTCCAGGTTCTTGATGCCATTCCTTTGGTTATTTGTGAGGCTGTCTGTCCTTGAGTCATTGGTCTGTGTGCTCACTAGGACTTTGTGTGGATGAGAGCACGGCTCCAGCTGGAGGTGGAGGAGCAGCTCAAGAGGAAGTGCTTCACTCTGCTTTGCTACCATGACCCCAGCTCAGGTGAGAGCCTCCTGTCCAGTCATATGGCCCTTGTGGATGTGGGTTTGAGGCAGACAAGACAGGGTTTCTCCCGGGAACTCACTGTGACCAGGCTGGCCTTGGACTCAGAGATCCGCCTGCCTCTGCTTCCCAAGTCTGGGATTAAAGGCGATGCCACCATCGTCTGGCTGACAAAAGCTGTTATAGGGCTTGGTATCTAATGGGGTTTCCTGTCCTGTCTGCGCAGATGCTGCTGGGGAAACCCTGAAAGCAGCGAAGGTGTGGACACTGTCTGAAGTCCTGGTGGGGGAGAGGCAGCAGTGCCTGGAGGCCAAGGGCCAGCAGAAGGAGCAGCTGGTGCTGCTGGAGAAGAAGAAAGCTACCTACTCCCAGGTCCGGCAGGCGGTGTCTCCCCCCCCCCCTTTGTTTGACCCCAGGACCCCTTCAGGTAAAGCCAAGTCTCATGGCTTGCTCATCCTTCTTCCACGGGTTCAGGTGCTCCTTCGCTGCCTCACCTCGCTACAGAGGCTTCTTCAGGAGCACCGGCTGAAGACTCAGTCGGAGCTGGACCGCATCAATGCCCAGTACCTGGAAATCAAGTGCAGCGCTATGATCCTTAAGATGAGGTAAGCTGTGAGCCCGCTGCATGGAGGAGAGGGGCTCTGTCTCACCGCTCCTCCACCTCGCCTAGCACAGTGGGCCCCAGGTGTCACACGGCAGTGTAATTACCCCCAAAGCTTTCAACACTAAGCATTTATTTCAGAGCCTTCTGAAATAGTTGCTGTGCTGTGAGGCCAGTTACTTGGGGCTCACGGTGACATTATCTGTCTCATCTCTATATCTTGACTGTGGCTTGCTACTGTGGGTTGTTTTTGTGTTGTTGTTTTTGTTTGTTTTGAGATAGGATCTCACTATGTGATCCTGGCTAACTGGCTGTCTGGAACTCACTAAGTAGGCCAAGCTGACTTTGAACTCAGAGATCTACCTGTCTGCCTATTGAGTGCCAGAGTTAAAGGTGTGCGCTACCACAACAGAGTTAGCTGTTCTACCTTAAAAATTCTGTTTCAACTTGTTTTCATTTTTTAAAAATGTGTATGAGTGTTAAGATTGCATGAATGACCTCTGGTGGCCACTGAGGTTAGAAGAGAGTGCCGGATCCCCTAGAACTGGAGAACTAGAGTTACAGGTGGTTGTGAGCTGCTGTGTGCGTGCGTGTGTGCGTGTGTGTGTGTGTGTGTGTGTGTGTGTGTGCGTGTGTGCGTGCGTGCATGCGTGCTGGGAATTAAACCTAGGTCTTCTGGAAGAGAACAAATGCTTTTAACCTCTGAGCCATCTTTCCAGTCCCAACTTCTTGGCCATGCTTAACTGTACTTTAAAAGGAGAGAAAGAGAGAGAATGTATCTTAACTGTACTTTAAAAGAAGTGTGTGTGTGTGTGTGTGTGTGTGAGATGGGTGAATGTGTGTGTGACTGCACAAGTCAGAGGACAACTATGTGGATCCAGTTTTCATCTTCCATGGGTTCCAGGGATTGATCTCAGATTGTTAGGCTAGCGCAGCAACCCCTTTAACCCACTGAGCCATCTTGTTGGCCCCTAAACTTTCCTTTGGTTTGGGATCTTCCATATAATAATTTCTTTCTTCCTTCTGTCAGGATGGAGGAGCTAAAGATTTTGTCTGACACTTACAGTGCTGAGAAATTGGAAGTGCATCATCTGATTAGGTGAGAGCCCTTAGGAGCTGGGTGCAGCTGTTTATGGCCCATTCCCAGGTGCTTCAGATTTGTTCCTGTTGACATGTTTCTTCTATACTTGTCGATTTTCTGAGGACTTACATCATGTCTTCTATTGAACTTTCCATGCCGGGGCTCTTAGGGACCGTTTGGAGGGAGCCATTCGCCTACAGGAGCAGGACCTGGAGAAGTCGAGACTGGTCCTGAAAACCTATGAGGCCCTTGGAGAAGACTTTGAGAACCTGGTGAAGGAGTACAGCCAACTCAAACTGGCAACTGAGAACAAGCGTTGGGCTCTCCAGGAGTTTAGCAAGGCCTAGCTGCTGAGTTGGTTGTGGGCAGAGCCAGGAAGCTTACCTTCTCTCCTGCTCAACGGACTACCTCCATGATAAGGGATATGGGGACACTTGCTTTAAAACACCACAGTGATTATGGCAGCCTCCTGGTTTCCTTGGTTACAATGGCTGGGTCTCCTCTGGAAAATGTGTCTATCAGATTTATATAATTTCATGCATATCTGCTTGCATCAGCCCTGTGTAATATTTCCTGAATAAAGTAGTAATATTATGTCTTAGGATTTTAGTCATTTTCCTTGGGCAAAGATGAAAAAAGAACATTGAAGTGTGTGTGGGTATGGTGGTCTGAGTAAGACTGGCCCCCCTAGGCCAATATATTTGAATGCTTAGTCACCAGGGAGTGAACTCTTAGGATTAGAAGGCTTAGGAGGTATGGCCTTGGAGGAAGTGTGTCACAGGGGGTAGGCTATGAAGCTTTAAAGCCCATGCCAGGTCCAGGTTCTTTCTCTGCTTGTGGATCAGGATAGACTCTCAGCTGCTGCTCTAGCGTCTGTCTGTCTGTCATGCATGCTGCATGCTACCAGCCAGTGAATCCAAAGATAGACCTGATAATGGAAGGTAAATGTGCCAGGCTGCCCTTGAGTCCTAGAGGCTTCATCCAGGAGAGAGGAAGTGGATTAAATCTGGATCTGTCTACATGCTCCAGAGGAGTGCTAGGAGTGCTCAGGAAGAGTGGAAACCTTTGTCCCTGTGACTGGCAATGGGGCAATTATAATACAGCACCAGGCGCTGTTTAACATTGTCACTGTGTCCCCCAGACGACAACTCTGTTGCTGCTGCTAAAGGTGGTTCTAAATCTCTATCATTATAATAAAACTCTAGATTCAAAAGCTAAAATGAAAACCTGAGAGCTCAGAGAGTTCCAGTAGCAACTGGCTAGCTTTCTCTCTTAGCTGGCATCTTCTTCACCGCTCCAACTGAAAAACATTACTTCCTGTCAACAAATTGCTAACCCTGCCTCTCTGAGCCCAGGTTAATTTTATTTAATTAACACAAATACAACACATCTTTACATAGTTAATCAAATGCAGTACAAACAAATGTAACACATCTTTGCCTAGTTAAACAAATAGTCCACAGCAGCCAGGCATCCTTAGGACACAGCCACTTGTACTCCTGTAGCATAAGGACTGAATGCCTCTCCAAAAGCAAGAGTAAGGTAGAGCCCTGATGACAAAATTCCACAGTCCGCCTAGCTGAGGCCAGGCAGGGGTCTGGCTGGTGTGAGCTTGGAAGCAGGGCAGGAGCAGAAGGCTTCACTCAGGAGCTACTCAACCATGGTCCAGAGCAAGCACCTGGAGCCTCCTGATGAGGTCAAATGAAGGTCAGGACTGGCCTGAAGAACTAAGGTCTTGAACTTTATATTAAACCTTTCTATAAATGGAGCCAACTGCTATCAGAGCAAATGCTGCTCCACATGAAGCCATTTCTCTTCCAAACAATTTGGAGAAAGTTTTATCTATAGAAAAAAATGAAGCTAGATGGTCGGTGGTGGTGCATGCCTTTAATCCCACACTTGTAAGGCAGATACAGAAGGATCTCTGTGAGTTTGAGGCCAGTCTGGTCTACAGAGCAGGTTCCAGGACAGGCTCCAAAGCTACAGAGAAACTGTCTTGAAACACACACACACACACACACACACACACACACACATTGAAGCTTGGCAGTGGTGCCATACTCCTTTGACCCCAGCACTTGGGAGGCAGAGACAGGCAGATCTTTGTGAGTTTGAGACCAGCCTGGTCTACAGAGCTAGTTCCAGGACAGCCAAGGCTACACAAAGAAACCCTGTCTCAAAACAAAATGTGACAAAAAATTATGTATATGGGTGTTTTGCCTGCATATGTGTGTATCGTGTGTATACCTGGTGCAGGCAGAGGCCAGAAGAGTCTGTCTGGTCACCTGAAACTGGACTTACAGACTGCTGTGAGCTGCCATGTGGGTGCTGGGAACTGGACCCAGGTCCTCTGGAAGAGCAGTCAGTGCTCTTGACCACTGAGCATCTCTCTAGCCCCTCTTTTTCCCCTTAAAAATTAAGATATAAATATATACATTTTCCTTGAAACATTTTACAGAAGTTACAGATTCCAGAAGGCAACTATTCAAAATTAGGACATCCCTCTGTATAATTAATAAAATTGTTATTCATAAAAGTTAATTCCAGCCGGGTGGTGGAGGCAGAGGCAGGTGGATCTCTGTGAGTTTGAGACTAGCCTGGTCTACAAGAGTGAGTTCCAGGACAGTCTCCAAAGCCACAGAGAAATGTCTTGAAAAACCAAAGGAAAAAAATTAATAATTCCATAATGACTATTATCCATCAAATTTTTTAAACTTCATTTCCTGATCTTAGGTCCAATAAAATCTAATGTCTTACACTTGGATGTTAGGTTTCATTAATTTCTTCTTAAAAATAGTGTTATATGGCTAAGGTTTGCCTCAAATTCATGATCCTCCTGCCTCAGGCTCCTAGAGCTGGGTTTGTGTGCATGTGCTTGCCTCCTTCCATTTGGTCCTGTATTTAATGTCATAAGGGCTTGCTATGTAGGCCAGGCCAACTTTAGGTTCATAGCCTGTGCTATGTGCTGGAATTAGAGGTGTGTACTTCCTGGTAACGTTTGTCCTTGCCTTCTTTTTACCTTCCTCCTCCCCACGGGGGAATGAACTCAAGAGTCCTATGCACGCTAAGCAAGCACCCTACCGCCAAGCTGCCACCAGCTTTTCTGGGGGGCAGATGTTCTTTGGGGGAGGGCAGAGGCTTGTTTTCATTTTGTTGGTATGCACATATGGCTGTGTACCACATCTGTGGCTGGTGCTGTGGAGGTCAGAAGTGTCAGATGCCCTGGAACTGGAATTACAGATGGGTGTGAGCAGCCTGGTGGGTGCTGGGAACAAAACCCTCCAGGGCCCCTGGAAGACTAGAAGAACAGCAAGTGCTCTTAGCTTCTGAGCCATCTCTCCAGTCCGTCCTCCCACCCCCACTTCTTTTGAGATAAGTCTCATTATGTGGTCAGGCTGGCCTTGAATTTACAGCAATCCTAACTCTGCCTCTTTTTGTTTTTGAGTGTCTCACTTTGCAGCTTTGGCTGACCTGGAACTCACTTCATAGACCAGGCTGGCCTTGAACTCACAGAGATCCTCCTACTTTTTCCTCCCTCTTGTAGGATCAAAGGTGTGCACCACCATGGCCAGCTGGGTTTCTCTAATGTATGAAAGCATTTTCTTAAGCTTACCATGGTGGTAAACACTTTTAATTCCAGCTTTTGGAGGCAGAGGTTAGTGGATCATTATAAGTTCCATGCCAGTTAGAGCTACACAGTGAGACCCAAAATACTGTCTCAAAAAAAAAAAAAAAAAAAAAAAAAAAAAAAAAAAAAGAAAAGAAAAGAAAGAAGCATAACACACTTTGTTGGGCTAGGAAGTTGGGCGTCTTCTTCCAGAGGACTGGAATTTCTTACTCTAGCTCCAGGGGATCCAATAATCTTTTCTGACCTCTTAGGGCATGCACACACTCACACAAGAACACAAACATACAAAAAAAAAAGTAAATCTTCAAAACAAAAAACCCCAAACACACTTTCTCTTAGTAGTTAGCAGCACTTAGAAGCTTCCTTATTTAATTAGATCAAACTAGATTTTGGTATTTGCAACAATAAGAATGGTAACTTAAAAAAGAAATGGGCGTGCTAGAGAGCTGCTTCAGCGGGTGAGAGTGCCCTCTGCCCTTTCAGATTCCTAGCATTCATATTGGGAAACTCACAGCTACCTGTAACTCCAGCTGCAGGGGATCTGACCTCTTCTTGCCTCCATGAACACACAAATACACGTGGCAGACACTTAAACACACACACACACACACACATAAATAAAAACAAAATAATCTTAGGAAAAAACCCTGGGATGTAGGGGTGCATACTTAACAATGCCAGCACTAGGGAGGTACAGGCTGGGGGACATTGAGTTGAGGCCAACCTGGAGTGTTCAAGATGAGCCTGAGCTATGTACCGAGATCACTTGAGAAAATATATAACATTCAGCAGACCAACATTGGCAGACACACAGCAGCTTTCAAGTGTGAAGCAATACAGAGAATGGATAAATGTGACTAGGAGCCAAGAGTTGTGAGTCGGAACATGTAAGGCAGAGACTCAGGAGGAAGGCAGATTTGGTTTGGATTCTGGAAAAAGCAACTAAGAAAAAGGAAGGGGAGGTTAAAAAAGAGGAGAGGGGAAGCTTTCACTTAGTATGGCCATAGTTTGAGAAACATATTCCATAACCTCAGCTTTGGAGAACTTTGAGAAAAGTATCCAAGGCAGTGCGGTTCCCTTCCTGTTGCCAAGGGCATGAATATGAATAGCAAACTGTTTCTTCTGTTTCAGAAATCTCAGAAAATCAAGCATTTGCCTGAGATGCTTTTGTTGAACTAGTTTAAATTCTTTTCACTGAATGTGTGTGTGTGTGTGTGTGTGTGTGTGTGACAAACACAGACAAATGTGGATGTTGGTCCCTTTCTTCCACCATATGGACCCTAAGCTTTCACAGGCCGTCAATCTTCATAGTGAAGGTCTTTATTTATATTGTTGGTTGTGAGCCTAGCCTTTAACGGCTGAGTCATCTCTCCAACCCGTAAAGGTCTTTACTTGCTGAACCATCTTGCCTGCCCTGGCAAACTTTTTTTTTTTTTTTTTTTTTTTAACCTCTACTGGGGAGGTCAGTTGGTAGAATGTTCTTGCCTAGCATGAGCAAGGCCCTGCGCTCAACCCCAGCACTGTATAAACTGGGTTGGTGGCACTATGAAGAGCCCAGTGGAGAAGTGCTTGCCTCATAACTGTGAGCACCAGCTTTTGGTTTCTGTGAACCCACACAAGGACTATGTGGTAGTACATGTCTGTTATCCTGTTGCATAGACATTCACCTGTCAGGGTCAGGAAATCTAGGGCATAGCCAGCTGTGGTGCACACCTTTAATCCAGCACTCCTCAGGAAGCAGAGGCAGGCAGAGCTTTATGAGTTCCAAGACAGCCTGGTCTACATAGTTCCAGGACATAAGGACCAGGTGACACGGTGACAACCTGTCTCTAGAAACAAAGCAAAGAAAGAAGGGAAGAAGAAGGAAGAAAATTCAAGATTATCCTTGGCTACATAGCAAATTCTGCTTAAAAAGAAAAGGCGTGTGGTGAAAAAACCTCACAAGTATAAATGGTAGGAAGTTGGAGCCATAC